AGCTGTGCATCCTTTAGCTTGCAAAATTTAGCAAAATAAAGTAATGAAGTGGTATCAGCGGTCATGTAAAACAGATGGAGATGTTTGCTACATTAAAATTAGGGTGAATACAGCAAATCAAACATTTGGCTTCCTGTTTCAATACCTGTTTTAACAAGCCATAATCCGCTTGGCCTCGACAGTTCCCCTCGGTGGAATCCCTGACACCATCTTAAAGGCTATTAGTTGTATGAGTCTTCGGAGGGTCCGAGGGAACAAGTGAAGGGTCGACTTCAGCAGCAGAACTTGCCCAGAAATCACTGCAACCTGACGCATTTCCTTTTTCAAAACTGAAAATAATAGTGGGCAAAGTGGTTTATAAGCCTGAGTAGTAAAATACTTTAAAATCCTTCATATTTCAAAACCATAACAACTGATTTGCTGTGCTTTAGGCTGCAAACTACCCAAACTCCTACACATGACTGCTGATACGACTTTATCACTCTGCTAGCTTACTTGTTAGCATGCTAAAGTCTACACAGCTAGCAATAACAAAAAGGCATTGCACAACGGCTCTACACCAAAGTTCATAGCCAGACAGTAAATAATTATTCACAGGTTTTATGTGTGGTACATTCAAATAAAAACATTGCGCTGTACAGCTTGCATGGCTAGCCAATTAGCTCACTGAGGCTAACCTGCAGAGTGCATTCTATATGAGTAATCCGCTCCTCACTGTCCCCTCCCCCAACTTCTGCCACAAGTGGACACAACTTAGGTGAGTCGAAGTGGGCGAGGGCATGTTAAAAACGAGCCCATAGTTTTAAAATATTAAGGATTTTAAACTGCTATGACTTAAACAGCTCTGGCCGCCATTATTTTTCAGGTTTGGAAAAGTGTTGGGCCGCAATGATGTCTCGGCAAGTGCAGCTGCTGTAGTTGGCGCAAGCTCACTTGGTCCCTTGCCCCTTCACTTGCTTCACTTGAGATGACAAAGTAATGGAAAAGCCTTTAAGATGGTGGGGAAATGGTGTGGCCAAGTAGGCGAGGGCATATTAAAAATGGTATTGCAATGAGCAGCTGGTAATTCAGTTGAATCCGATGTACTTAAGCAGAAAAATCACCAAACTATGCAGGAATCCAGTCCATCAGGACGGGAGTTCCCCACCCCGTTCTATGGCGTCACTCCAAAAAACCCTTGTTGGCATCTTTAACCTATTTAAGTGCACCGCATTGATTTTACTGGAAAGACTAACCAGACAATAGGCTCATATAATCAGCAGCAGCGTTTCCAGTTTAATTATTCAGAAAGCGAACTTGTTTATTCTGTTCAACGCTTTTCACCCACGGTTCTCCACCCTCATCTGCAATGCTGGTTGCAGACATGCTGATTAAATCTCCCTGAGGTTAAATGGGTGTAACGCTATACTATCCGCCTAAATCCTGAAAGAAACCACAGTGGCTGACCTGCTTCAGGCTAGAGCGAAACTCCTCTGTTCAGTCAGGCCCCAGTGCTACTGAGCTGTTATATAACACACGTTCAGAGATTCGTAACAGTGTACGACGGTGTGTACTTGTATGTTTCATCATCTCGGCCTGGTCATGTGCTGTAAAATGCTACAGAGGGTCAGATCTTTTATCTTATCTCTTCTTATTTGAGCCCTAAAGGCATGTGGCAAAGTCTCAAAGGCTGATTTGACCCGCTATTCCCAAGAACCACTGTCTACAGCTTTAAGCAGCATTTAACATCGCAGTTTCAACTATATACTACGTAGAGAATACGCTTTAAGATACTATTACTGGTCTAGAAATCGCTCAGTGGTGCAGGACCAGCATATTTATTTCATATGCTGCAGCGATATGAGCCGAGCAGAACTCTCAGATCATTAGGAACTGGTCAGTCAGTCCTGCCGAAGGTGAAGACTAAACATGGAGAAGCAGTGTTTAACTACTATGCTGCTCTTAAATGGAACCAGTTGACAGAGAGAATCAGAAAAGACCCGACACTGGACACTTTAAAATCCAGGCTCAAAACGTTCCTATTTGGGCAGCTTTCAGCTCAGTTTAAACACTGTTAGCGTTTCTAGCCCCTTTTCCTGAGTGACAGCACTTTCTTTTAATGCTAATCAAACTTTTAATTTTAATTTGATTATTTAACCATCCTAATTTATTTTCATATTAAATTTTCGATTTAATGATTTTCGTTTTTAAATGTATTGATTTAATCATGTTTTAATTATGTTTTTCTGTTCGTGTTTACATTTTTTGAACAACTCTGTGTTTTCTGACTCTGTATTTTCTTATTTGTAAAGCACTTTGAATGACAGCAGTGTATGAAAGGTGCTATATAAATAAACTTGACCTGCCTTGCCTTTAAAATGTATGGGAACACTTGAACTCTGCTACATAACCTTGACATAAGCATACCATAAACATGTCATGGCAGATGTCATATGTTGCCATAACAACATAACAGACTATGTTCAGTAATAAAGCAGTGCCATGTTACCATTACTGGTAAGTGAAGTCATGACAGCTTATATTACATGCTAATATTAGAGGTGCACTCTAGTTAGTCATCATAACATCAAACACTATCACATACGGCTTGGTAAGTAATGCTAACATGACACTTTTATATTACTGCAAATAATCTGTAATGATAATTCATGACAACCGTCTTGAAATATGTATGGCATGGTTAATGTTGTGTCAAATGTCTTGTATTGCACTTACGCTGTCTAAGTATCAGCCCTGGCGTGTCTGGCTGTGTCTTAGTTCAAGGGTAGTGTGTACTCTGACCTACATTATATTGCCAAAAGTATTCACTCACCCATCCAAATCATTAAATTCAGGTGTTCCAATCACTTCCATGGCCACAGGTGTATAAAACCAAGCACCTAGGCCTGCAGACTGCTTCTACAAACGTTTGTGAAAGAATGTTTTGCTCTCAGGAGCTCAGTGAATTCCAGTGTGGTGCTGTGATTGGATGCCACCTGTGCAACAAGTCCGGTCGTGAAATTTCCTCGCTACTAAATATTAAACAGTCAACTGTCTGTGGTATTATAACAAAGTGGAAGCGATTGGGAACGACAGCAACTCAGCCATGAAGTGGTTTGGCCATGTAAAATGACAGAGTGGGGTCAGCGGATGCTGAGGCACATAGTGCGCAGAGGTCGCCAATAGAGTCAATCGCTACAGACCTACAAACTTCATGTGGCCTTCAGATTAGCTCAAGAACAGCGTAGAGAGCTTCATTGAATGGCTTTCCATGGCCAAACAGCTGCATCCACGCCTTACATCACCAAGCGCAATGCAAAGCGTCGAATGCAGTGGTGTAAAGCGCCGCCACTGGACTCTAGAGCAGTGGAGACGTGTTCTCTGGAGTGACGAATCACGCTTCGCCGTCTGGCAATCGATGGATGAGTCTGGGTTTGGCGGTTGCCAGGAGAAGGGTACTTGTCTGACTGCATTGTGCCAAGTGTAAAGTTTGGTGGAGGGGGGATTATGGTGTGGGGTTGTTTTTCAGGAGTTGGGCTCGGCCCCTTAGTTCCAGTGAAAGGAACTCTTAATGCTTCAGCACCAAGAGATTTTGGACAATTTCATGCACCCAACTTTGTGGGAACAGTTTGGGGAGTTTGGCCCATGACTGCGCACCAGTGCACCAAGCAAGGTCCATAAAGTCATGGATGAGCGAGTTTGGGAAGAACTTGACTGGCCTGCACAGAGTCCTGACCTCAACCCGATAGAACACCTTTGGGATGAATTAGAGTGGAGACTGCGAGCCAGGCCTTCTCGTCCAACATCAGTTGGATGTTGACCAACTGACCTCACAAATGCTCTTCTGGAAGATTGGTCAGAAATTCCTATAAACACACTCCTAAACCTTGTGGAAAGCCTTCCCAGAAGAGTGGAAGCTGTTATAGCTGCAAAGGGTGGGCCGACATCATATTAAACCCTATGGATTAAGAATGGGATGTCACTCAAGTTCATGTGCGTGTGAAGGCAGATGAGCGAATACTTTCGGCAATATAGCGTATGTGCACTAACTAGGGTACGTTCTGAGTGCACAAGGAAGTCACACTGGATAAGGGCGTCTGCTCAGTGCCCTAAACGTAAGTATGGGGTTCCTGAGTGTGTAACAATTTTAGTTACACTTGACTTTCAGAAAGGTTCCTCATCCATTTTGAAACCATCTTCAATTATGGATCCACACCTATTTTTCAGCCAGTGTATGCAAGTTAAATCAGGATCTTCTTGTTTTTGTCAGCTTCTGTGGTGGCAGCTCTATGTCCTACTACCGCCCACAGCCATGACCACTGTGGTTTAGGCATACTTTAACTGTTCAGGATGGTTGTGGTTATTCAAATATCTCCATTTGTTACCCAGAATGTGTACTTTGGAAAACAAAGCAGGAAATAAAGTACGTATTATCTTGCAAACTTGGAGGCCACCAGCAACAACTAAATGTGGTTTGATGGAAAAGGCCATAGAACTCAATCTGACTGGCTACAAGTGATAAAATGATATGGATAGGCCTTGGATGAACATCCAGCAGTACCTATCTGAATTTTTTTATATGTAATTTTCACACTTTCATCCATCAGTAACTCCATACAACCAGATTACAATTGTGCTCAAGCAAGCTCAGAACACACAAACCAAGTGGAATTTACATTTAGCATGGACATTACTGGCTTGTGCAAAATGGCAAAATTTAAGTGGTACTAAATATGGAAATGTTCCAAACAAAAGATGACGTTAAAGTGCAAAGCCATAGATATTTTGTTCTGTGGTTAAATGGGCTGCAATTTCAATCATATACACCAAAAATGCAAACTAAAAAATTTATGAAATCCAAAATATGATGTACACATCAACCCTTACCTAGAGTTTTCATTTTTTCCCCATTAAATACTTTCTTCCTGGGATTCTTAACCTACTCATCATGTGCAAAAATGATCAGAATACAGTTTAAGCTCCTTAGCTTGGAGTCACAAATGAGCCAAAACAAGCTGTGATGCAATGCAAGATTTTTTTAATGCAGTAAATGATTCTACGAGGAGAGCGCTAATAAAATTTCACATTTACAATAAGCATTATCTTAAGCAGACAGATAACAATACAGAAGACTCTGGACTCTGAAGGTACAAATAAATAGATCCGTTTTTTAAAACAATCCCCCCCCCCCCACATAAAAAATACTGAATGTGAACCAGGTGAATTGGGTTCCCTTGCATTCGATCACTACTTTCCAGATGTTCTGGTCTATTTCCCCATGTCTCAAGATTAAACCAAAATGGGCCTGCCACATCAGACTCAAAAACAGCAATTACTTTGGTCTGAATAAGAAAACAAAAAAAAAAGGTTGCATAATGTGCTGTTTGTACATGAGCTTGAAGCATAGGGTAGTCACATAGTACACTATAAAGAAAGTTGCAGATTTTAAGTAATTTGTAACCGATATAACTGGTTTTAGACACTAATAAGTTGTGGAAAGAGTTCATTAGCGAACATGTCATCCCAGGAACCATCTGAGCACAACGGGGATGACATGTCGCTGAAAGGGGAGGGGGACCTTTCGTATCCAGAGTCACTGTATGCATCGGCTGTCAAATACGCTGCCTTCTCGTAGCCGTCGAAGGAAGGAGATGTTGACAGGAAGTCGTCAACCCCAATCGCGTTGCTACTGGTCACGGGGATGACCACTTCCTCTGGCTCATCCTTGACAGACACCGTCTCCACTTCCACTTCAATCTCCTCTTCGTCGGATGTCGAGAAGGCCACGCTTTCTTCCCGGATCTCTTCCATCTTCATTTCCTCAACGCTCTCAACGCTCTCCTCATGCTCCACCTCGACGGGCTTGGTGTAGATGTGGTCAAACTGAATCAGTTCATTAAGGGCCTCCAGCTTAACTGGTGGGGCCCCCACAGCTCCAGGTGTGGAGGCAGGTAGCGGCTCTCCGGCTGCCCCCACCAGAAGAAGCTGTTGCTCTGGCTCTGGTACTTCTGGGAGACCACCCTTGAAGAAAAGCTCTGGGTCAAGGATGTCCAGAATGCCAAGCAAGAGATCAGACTGTTGGATAAAAGAATGAAAAAGAACCATTAGTGTCAAAGATAGTTAGAAACGTTTCTCTCAATTGGGAACTTCATAGGAAAAGGTAGGAAAAACAAGAAAATGAAATAAATAAAATCACAAGTGATGAGCTAAATTTTGCCACTTGACGTGACTGACGCATTAGCCATGTTCCTTGATGACTCTGCATGAGATACTTTCCAGAAATAGATACCAAACCAGCTCAACAAGAAAAAACTGGTATCTGAAAGTTCATTGCCAGTAACGTTAATAAAAACTCCTCAGACTGGTATGCTAGGTTTCCTCCCGGAAGGTGCAGAAAGGTTTTCCTTCCAAGTCCGATATGGTCTCGTCTAAGCTAACCTCTTCATATTTCTTTATAGAGAAGAATAAATGTGCTTGGAGCACTGCCACAAAAGCATGTTTGGTCCCCTGAGATCCTTTCAATGGAGGTCTTTGAAAAACTGTTCAGTATATTAAAAGTTATCACTTTTTAAAAAGCTAGAACTTCGACAATGTTATGGTTTTACACCAATAACAATGTTTTCCCCAGGATCATCCAAACCAAGACCTATTTAGGAACCTTCATCTTAAAGAGTGTGCCTTTAGCACCAGGTGAACCCCTTTACCTCATTGTCTGCATGGCCAGGAGTGTGAGAATCAGCGGTGAATTCTTCGGACTTGATGACTGCTGGGCCTGCACCTGCTGCGGAGGCACACGTAGCCTGAGTTCTGCGGACTCAGAAGACCCGGTCACCAAAACCAAATCGCTCACCCCGGACTCAACAACCTGGACCTAGAGATGAAAGAGAGGCGTTAAAGGATAAAAATACAGTATTTACAGTTAATGACTGGTTCTACACACAAAGCAAAAACACGTTTGGTGCAAGGCGTTCATCAGTTCTTAATGGTGGTGCATGGTTTGAGACCAGTCCATCATTTAACATTATCCTTATCTTTCCCGTCATTTTAGTGTTACATTCTATTAGATTTGACCTTGACCCCAAGCCAAAAGAGTAGCATCCTTTATGCTGTATTATTTGTCAACATTTGCTTATGTATAAGCCAGATTAGTCTCATTTCATCCACCCAGCCAACCCCCCACCCCACCTTAACTCTATAAATCCTCTTTACCTTCTCTTTCGTATTAAGGGTGTCCAACCCCAATCTCTGCCTGAGCTCCTCATTCTCCCCGAGCAAATCGCTCGTCCTCTCCCTCAGCATCTTGTTCTCCTTGTAAAGTTTCTGATTCTGTGGGGAAACAAACAGATTCGTCAAGAATTCCCAAGGAAATCCATGGAAAACAAGAAAAATTGGCAGGTCCACCCAACTTGACATCTGTCTTAAGTTTACCTCTTGCTCCAGCTCGAGCACTTGCTGCTCCAACTCTCCCATTCTGGCCTTTTTTCTGTCTCTTGCTGTTTGTGCAGCAACTCTGTTCTTTAGTTTCCTACAAGAAGAACAAAAACAACATTTATCACACCACTTATTTAAAGCATGCACATCATTTCTAATCAAGTTCTTTCAGAAGCTCAAATCGCAGAGCATTTGATCAGGCATAGTTTATTGCAGTTTATTGCAGGTTATTGTTATATTGTTATAAATGGTGTCACAGTATGATTTGACATATTGTGGATATTGTGGACAACTAAACCACTGCATAACTCCCTTTTAACTGGATTTACTGTAGCACAGTGTAAAACTTTGACCAAAAAAAAACACTGTACTAAATTAACAGCACTTTAAATATGAAATGCATATTGTGAAAATGCCTTCCAAGTATTAAGATACTATTTTTGCCACCCCTAACTTACTATATGCAAATAATTCAACGTGGGCATAACTGACCAAATGGTTGCACAGCTTTCTACATACTACTACATAAAAAAGATGGTTCTTCAAGGGTTCTTTAGTAAAGGCAATGGCTCCATTTAGAACCATGAGTTCTATATAGAACCATTTCATGCTTAAACCGTTCTTTGCTTGGCAAAATATTCTCTGTAGACTTGATCAATTGCAATTGCACAATCCTGCAGCCATGTTACTGCCACGAAGGCAGAACTTGACCTGAGTGAGTGAAAGGGAGGGGGGGGGGAGGAGCTCAGCTGATTCTGGCTAGAGGTCAAAATCAGCATTTACACCGACGCCAAAGAAGAGATTAAACACCCCAGACTCAAGCTGGACCTCAAATGGTTACCTAACTATCTAGTACCATACATATGTAATATAAGCGCTTTTATGTGCAAACAGAGCACTATATATCCAATGGAGACATTTGGGACTCCGCCCTATAGCCTATACGCAAGAAGCTTAAGTAGGCTTCCTATTAACCAGCTTACTTATTAATTTTTTCCGTTCCACCTTAAAACGAATGATGCCATAGGAACGTTCTGGCTCTGGCGTCTCGCCAGAATAGGACTGCCGCACCATTTAAGGTGGAACGGAAAATTCGAAGAAACGACAGCTTCCCCTTAGAAACTCCTGTCACGGAAATCCATCGACTAAACAGGCAAAGCCGAGGCCAGAGACGTTAACGTAAACGACTACGTCTGGTATTAAACCGCTCACCTTCGAAGTGCTTTTTCCTCGGGGCTCAGATGTGTGAGCCTCTGTCTTTTCCGCAAAGGAGCCGCGGTGGCGCTGGAGTCCGAATCCGAGGATTGGTGAGCCGAGGACGGCAGGACGACGGACACCGACCGGCCCAGTCCCCCGGAACTCTGCTTCCCAGAGATGAGGAGGACTTTATGGGCGCCCCCGGCCCCTGCTGTAACTACAACCATATTGTATTCACTTCAGGGGGCTTCGTGAAGATCCCTTTGAATCAATGGGGGGGGTAAAAAGAAAATAAAAATAATGAAAAAACGTTTTTATCCCGGTGTTGTTTCCCCTCTCCGCTCTACAGAAACTCTAACCGGGCGGAAGAGCCTGCTTTCTATTTCTACTATCGTGGTGCGATCTGATTGGCTAGTGGGTCGTGGGCGTCATGTGTGGGTGGTGCCGAATTGGCTGGGAGGCTGATGCAATTTACATACCACCATTTGCTTTCCTCTCAAACGGCCCCTGAACCAAAACAACAAACCTCCATATGCAAGATTAGAAATGGAAAATGCATTCACTTTACTGTTTGTGTGAGGTTAATGGATGGCCAAATGCATTAATTATGGAATGAACTGCACCGGGCATTGTTTTCTATGTTAAAGTTGTGTGCTGAGGTGGACAAAGTGGTCACTTATTTCAGTGAATTGCATCAGTCCAACAACAAAAACATCACTTAGCAGATTTCAATTGGAAACCAGCATCTATACAGTATTTGGAGAGGGAGGAATGGTGGCACATGAGTTAAAACGTGGAGTAGACTGCACTTTTTCGGTACCAGACACTGGTTTTCTGTGATAAAGTGCTGAAGTGGACAACATGGTCACTTATTTCAGTGAATTGCATCAGTCCAACAACAAAAACATCACTTAGCAGATTTCAAATGGAAACTAGCATCTGCACAGTATTTAGAGAGGGAAGAATGAGAGCGAATGAGTTAAAATGATTTAAACGTGGAGTAGACTGCACTTTTTTGCTACCAAACACTGGTTTTCTGGGATTAAGTGCTGAAGTGGACAACGTGGTCACTTATTTCAGTGACCACTTGCATCAGTCCAAAAGCAAAATCATCACTTAGAAGATTTCAAATGGAAACGAGCATCTATACAGTATTTGGAGAGGGAGGAATGATGGCACATGAGTTAAAACGTGGAGTAGACTGCACTTTTTTGCTACCAGACACTGGTTTTCTTGTGCTGAAGTGGACGAAGTGGTCACTTATTTCACAGAATTGCATCAGTCCAACAACATTTTCATTACAAATGGAATCCTCTAATCAGCATTAGGAGGAGGTAGATGGATGTTAAAATGGAGTTAATGGATTGGAGCTCACTGCTTAATACCAGACAGCGTTTTCAGCGTTAAAAGTTGTGTGCTGAAGTGGGTACCCAGTTAGCATAATTTGTCTCCTTGGCTTTGTTCTGGCCCAGTATGCAGCTGGGTCCTCAGCCCAGATCTGGCCCACACTCTATAAAGTGAGAAGACTTAATTGTTGTGGCCCAAATCTACTCAATCTACTGTGGCCCAACTACACTGTTGGCCAACAAATATAGACACAAAGCATAGCTGTATGAAGCTGTGCAGCATCCCTGTTCTGGTGCACATGCTCAAGATGTGCCCAGTAGTCAACTAACTATTGCACAGGAAAGCCAGAATCGGCCCAAAACTGTTTGCTATCTGGGTATAGTCGTCAACTATTTCAGTGAATTGTATCAGTCTAACAAAATCATCTAGAAATGGAACTAGTTTCTGTACATTATATGAAAGGGGAAGGATGAGAGTAAATGGGTTAAAATGTTTTACATGTGGAGTAGACCGCACCTTTTTAGGACCAGGCGCCGTTTTTTTGTGATAAAGTGCTGAAGTGGACAAAGTGGTCACTTATTTCACAGAATTGCATCAGTCAAACAGCGTTTCCATTGGAAATGGAAACCTCTAATTAGTATTAGGAGGAGGTAGACAGATGTTAAAATGCATGAAACCTGAATTGGAGTGCACTGTTTTGTACCAGACAGTGTTTTCTGTAAGTGGATGTAGGCCTAGTGGTCACCTATTTCACAGCATTGCATCAGTCAAACCATAAACTGGAATCTTGTTAGCATGTGGGTAGAGTTAAGTGCAAAATGCATTTAATTAAACTACACTGTTAGTACCAGACACTGTTCTCTGTGTCAAAATAATGAATTACATCAAGTCAAACTTGTTGAAGCTGTATTGATCAGGGTCCACTTTCCCAAATTCATCTTAGTATTGAAAGCTTAACTGATGGAAAGAGTGTTCAGTGTTATGTTCGCTTTACCATTTAAGAATCGTGTTTGTGCAAAGATGCTTTCAGAAAACCCAGCCCTGGAGAATTCTACAAATTGTTTTGTTTGTTCACTGTTTTGTATTCTGTTTTAAAGGGACACTCCAGCCAAAATGATAACTTTAACTATCGTCTGTTGTAAACATGCCTGTTCATCTCTTACATTGGTGACGCAGTAGTCCGTAAAGCAAGATTTACTAGTTTACAGACTAAAAGAGCACCCTCCCACCTTCTGATGATGTATCTTAAAGATGGAATTAAAGGTTCAGTGCTTTGGGGTGAGTATTACATGAGTAGAACTAATTGATGTGGCTCAAATCCGGCCCAACTACACTGTTGGTCCACAACGTTCGCGCCAGAATTGGCCAACAAATGTAGACACATTGCATAACTGTATGAAGCTGTCCAGCATCTGGCCCTGTTCTGGCTCACATGTCTTAACATCTGCAGAGTAGACAACCAACAGTTGCATAGGAAAGCAGAATCGGCCCAAAACTGTTTGCTATCTGGGAATAGTGGTAAGCCATTTCAGTGAATTGTATCAGATTAACACAATCATCAGTTAGAAAGCAAGATTTACTAGTTTATAGACTAGAAGAGCACCCTCCCACCTTCTGATGATATATCTTAAAGATGGAATTAAAGGTTCAGTGCTTTGGGGTGAGTATTTCATGAGTAGAACTAATTGATGTGGCTAAAATCTGGCCCAACTACACTGTTGGTCCACAACGTTCAGACCAGAATTGGCCAACAAATGTAGACACAAGGCATAATTGTATGAAGCTGTCCAGCATCTGGCCCTGTTCTGGTCCACATGCCTAACATCTGCAGAGTAGACAACCAACAATTGCATAGAAAAGCCAGAATCGGCCCAAAACTGTTTGCTATCTGGGTATAGTGGTCAGTCATTTCAGTGAATTGTATCATTCTAACAAAATCATCAGTTAGAAAGCAAGATTTACTAGTTTAAAAACTAGAAAATCCCCCTACCCCACCCTCTGATAATGTATCTTGAAGGTGGAAGTAAAATTTGAAAGACTACAGGTGCTTTGGGGTGAATATTTCATGGCAGCTATTTGAAAAGTTTTTTTCGCTGGCTGTCCAAATTAGTCTAGAATGCTAGCTAGGACCATAGATGTATTTATTAACCCTTTAAAATGTAATTTTCTGTCTTGATTACAGAAAATAGTGACCCTTACTGAGTCACAGCCTTTGAACTGAAGTGAACCATCAACCTGTATCTCCTGGGTGTTTAATGGTGATCATCTGTAATAGTGATACGTAATCAGGACTGATGTAGTCATTGACATTAATAGCCTGCTATTGTTAAGTACTCAGTGATGATCCAGCGGCAATTAGAAAGAACACTATCAACAGAGTCTGAGAAGCTTTTTTGTTAAAGTAACCATTCTTATAAAAGCTGAATGCCTTATTTTACTTTAGTTCAACAGTAAAGCATTATAATGACACATCATTAATTCATAGTTCATCATTTCTAGTTCCTGTGTTAATAGCCATGTTACTTTATGGCCCGAACACTGTGTTTGACATTAACGCCAGTACAGATGTCAATAGATACAGTGTATTCTATAATATATACTAAATGAACTGACATCTTATGTTACAAGACAAGGCTTATTATTCAGTAACTACATGGGATACAAGACAAAGTAGCTGAGTTATTACTAAGTTATAGTGATGCATAATAAAAAATTTAACCCATCAGCAAGTCCTGGCCACTTAAAGGGATAAAATATATGTGGATTAGACGTATGTGGCTGGGTCCTCAGCCCAAATCTGGCCCACACACTGTAAAGTGAGTAGAACTAATTGATGTGGCCCAAATCTGGCCCAACTACACTGTTGGTTCACAACATTCATGCCAGATTTGGCCAAGATATATAAACGCAAGGCATAACTGTATGAAGCTGCCCCCAGCATCTGGCCCTGTTCTGGTGCACATGCCCAAGATGTGCCCAGTAGTCAACAATCTATCGCACAGGAAAGCCAGTACCGGCCCAAAACCGTTTGCCACGTTTGTATAGTGGTCAACTATTTCAGTGAATTGTATCAGTCTAACAAAATCATAGCTACCCCTTGAAAATTGACCATAAATCTTCGAATTAGTTGTATTTTATTCATACAATATGTGAAACACAACATTAAGCAAGGTTATTGAAAGAAAAATAAAGAAAAAAATGTATGTGCATACATATTTCCTTAAGCTTTAGGCGTGTATAAATTCAGTTATGGGTCAAAACCATAATAATAGCCGTCAAGGGTGTCATTGGAATGACAGTGTTGCCCAGTAGAGTGTAATTAGCATGTGAAAGGTGGTGAATAGGTTTTACAGGCTGGCTGACGAGTCGTCTGTCACCTGAACTCGTCTGAGTCAGCCTGTGATAAACAGAAGCCTGTTTACCTGACCGTCCTTCAGCCCCGCAATCAACATCGTAAAATGTAAATGAACATTACTGCAACTGGGTTCTTCTGTTTTGGGTGGGCCTTTTGGATCAGGTCAGATGATGGTTTTCTGTTCTGTGTCAAAAAGGGTTCTTTGCACTAAAAATAGCAGGAAAAGAACATTTTAAGTGTGTTCTCTGTACTGGGTGTTTTAGCAAGTTTTCACTTTTTTTTGCAAATTGTTCAAATGCAATTTGAACAATTTGTTCTTTCTTCTTCTTCTTCTTCTTCTTCTTCTTATTATTATTATTATTATTATTAGTAGTAGTAGTAGTAGTAGCAGTAGTAGCAGTATCCTTCCTGTGACATTTTAGCCCCACAAGCATGTCGCTGTTGTCGGAACAAAACCTCATATCTCCAAAACAGTAACTTTACAGGAGAAAGAAAAAACCTTCTTTACTTTTAATGTAAGTCAATGGAACCAGATTTTTTTCCTAGTCATTTTGGGCCGTTTCTTTTTGTCCATTCATCATGAAACTTACACGTGATATAAAGGGCAACAGGAATTTTCAAATTATGTCAAAAACTGTAAAACAACAAAAATGGAGATACAGCGTTTTG